AGCTAAAAAAAAAATAAAAGGAGGGATGAAATGGTTAAAATGGCTAAAGAGAAAAAGTGCCATTAGCAACGGGTAATGTAAATATTTAAATTCTGTGAGAGTTCATTTCCTCAAATACTATGGTATAGCCACTCTAGACTATTCGTTAGTATATTGGGGGTTTTTTTAAGTACACACAGAACTCTGATAATCCTCACAGATGAGTCAAGCACCTGCCCATTCCCCACCCCCAAAAAAACCTGGATTTTCATTCAGAGGTGAATTTAGTGTGTATTCAGAGGTGCATATAGAATGGCATTACGTATTATAAAGGAGTTTATTCATTCAACAAACATTTACTGACTACCTTTCATGTACCACACACTGGAAAGTGCAGAAATGCAAGGATGACTGAGATTCCTGCCCTCAAAGGACTCAGTTCTGTGCAACAGATACTTGTAGCAATGATTCTATCATAATAGCTCCCGTTTTTTGAGCACGTTTTGTGTGCTAGACATTGTAGTAAATGCTTTACTTTTACAAATGTCATTTGAGGTACTTAATTCAGATACCTTGAATTTTCACTGCATGAAGATACTATTATTCCAGTTTAATAGATTAAAAACCTGACTCAGTGTGAACCAAGTAACTTTGTCAAGGGCACACAACTGGCAGGTGTCACATACTCAAATGTCAGACGTCAGATACTCAGATCTTGTTTCCATCACACTAGGCTTCCTCCAAGGCCTATACACAGTGTGTCAGGGCATAACGGAAGACGGAGGAATTCTACCTGATGAGGATGCAGGATAATGAGGCTTGCCCGGGAGAGCTTCAGAAACTTAATCACTTAATTGGATCTTGAAGGAGTGAACATTTCCCAGGCCAGAATACAAGACAAAGGAAGTCATTCTAGACAGAAGGGAAGATGTGTTGAAACACTGGGAGCAATAAAAGCGCATTATGTGTGTCTGAAACCTCACAAAGAAACCACATATGACAGGAGCACAGAATGCATGTGTGGATGGCAAGGAAGGGAGTCCCGGGAAACAAGCCAGGCGTGATTGGGCCACAGCAAGCCGTGGCTGCCATGCTAACAGATTTGGGCTTTTGCGAGTAACCTGGGAATTACCAGCCACTCAAGGATCTTAGGCAAGGGGCTCACATAACAGAATGGAGAAGCTCACCCTGGTGGATATAGTACATGGTACTGGAGCTAACGGGAGTGTTTGGGGTTGAAGGTTTATATTTGGGAATCGTTAATGCGTGGTATTACTGTGGCAAGTTGGTTGAGTAAAAAGAGAGTCAGTGACACAATTTATCATCAACATCAATGTTTAAAAGAAGTCCAAGGAGGAGTATCCAGAATAAAAACTAAACGATAAAAGAGGTGGGGTAATCAAGGGAAATGTGCAAAAATGTTATCATGTGACCTAATAAACCACAGGGCCAATGTCTGTAGCAGCATCAAAACTATCTAGAATAACTTTCACATTTATTTATTCATCCATTCATAAAGTACTGAGTTCCTACTGTGTGCCATTATGCTGAGCACTGGGTATTCAGTAGTGAACAAAACATATTGCTACTATCCCTGTGGAGCTCAGTCCATTTTAGCTATGGGAACATGTATAAGAATATAGTGCCTAAAGCAAGATGTGTACAAGGTGAAATCATTTGGGCTTTCACTATATAAAATTGTATTGAAGTGAAAATTTTCTCCTTTTGTTGCATTTTGTCTTTTAAAGTTTCAAACGTATTAACTCTGTTCTTGGTTAAAAATGTTTTCTTTCACTCATTTTTCTGATAGAATACTTCTGAGCATTTACATAAAATGGCTGAACATAATATCTTGCTTCATTTGAGAAAATTAGAAAAAGAAGGAAAAATATGTAAGTATATGTCCACATTTTAATTATTTTATTACCAGCACACACGAGTAAAATGTTTTTATTTTAAATAAATGAACTAGTTCCCTTTTAGGAAAGATAACACCCATCAGAGCTCTGCCTTGAATATGACTGTACGTTTGAGAGCCAGGCGCTAGGCAGGGTCAGAAGTGAAAGGCCAGTGGACCACAAAAGGGAAGCAGAAACGTCCACAGGAATTAGAATCTCGTTAGAGGTTCCAAACTTCACCCACGAGAATGACAGTCAAAGGTGTATAGTGGGAAAATAGCTTCTCTTCTCCCAGACCACAAGACCACGAAGAATTTTCCATGTAGACTTGGGAACAGCCAGCGGTTTTAGCAGTAGTAAAGTAGGAAGCTCAAAGATACTGAAGCAGTAATTCTAGTTGTTTACTAGTGTTAGGTTAATTTCTCAAATTCAGAATCTTTATAGAAGTTTAATCCTTAAAATCAACAGGTTCAAAGCTTGAATCTTGGGTAGAAGGTTCAGCAATGTTTTTAAATGTACATTAATAAAAAATACCAACTTTATATTGAGCAACAAAACTATTTTAGGAATGCTTTTTCTAACCAGGAGATAGCATAAAATTCAGTGAATTCGCTTATCTGTTGTTAAATTTTTACTCTCTAATTTTCTTTCCACAGTTAGCAGCATGGATCCTGACAAGAAATGGAAGGCTAATCTTTAGTTTCACATTCATGAAAGCTTTTGTTGTTCTGTCTTTAGAGAATGGTACGTTTTCTTAACTATTAATTCTTTACAGAGACTATAGACTGTAGAATATTGAAAATAACCCTAGATATACTTTAATGTCAGATTTATTCTAAAATATATATTACATTTTACTCTATAATATAGATTATTTATCCAACCTAGGTCTCATCATTTTACCAAAAATTCAGAATCCAACAGTTTAGCCACTTTCAATCAATTAAGTAAAATGGTTACTTTAAAAATATTA